GGGGGGGGTGTTCCGGGTCACAGGAAGAGAGAGGACGCGAAAAGGCATGAGTAGTGTAATAAAAAGCACTCTGTGTGTCTTTGCGTCCTCTTTCTTAAAATCAACAATCACCTCCTTGTTGCTAAAGCTGCTCCTAAAGTTGTTTGCACACAGACAGCACTCGGCAACCACTATGACTATGGTGTAAGGTGTGGTTGTAAATCTGGTTTTGAGTAGTTATGTTATACAGAGAAACAAAACTTAAACCTCTGTTCGCTCTGCCGGCAGAAGGGCCCCACTGAGGGAGGCTCTGGAGGAACGGCAGCTGCTCCTCACCGTGCAGCGACAGGGAAAGCCTTCACTCAGTAAATCTTTGACAAACCCTTTATAATCCAGCCAGGGGCAATCTTATATTGATCTTTTTGTATGTGCCGTACAGTTGACGTGTTTTATTCAAACTGAAAAGGGAGAGGCCACCGCACACTCTTAGGTTTTGCATACAGTATAGTCCAACTAGGTCCTGCCTGCATTTTGTTACATCAGGAAAGCAAAATCTACAGGCCTAATGCTACAGTCAAAACAAAAGAGTCACAGGAGAAGAATTTATTTCAGTACTTTAAAAAACATTTTACACTGATGCACCATAACAGACACATATTGCCACGGATGCACCTTTTTGATACACTTAGTGTAGTATCTTAGTGTATATATACACTAAGATACTAAATATTTGCTGATAGATCATTTGTAACAATTAGGCATTCATTTAAGGATACCAAAGGCAGTTAATGCTTTTCTTCACCAAATGTAGTATCCTTTCAAAAATGTCCACCAACTTACAATCTAGTGAATGTAAATCCTAAATACTTTTGTGTGTACTTTTTTAAGGTTAATCAGTGGTGAACAGCTTGGACAGACAGACTTTGTGATGCACTAAATTAAAGAAGAATATAAGCTATTCTTATGTCTTGTATCTATTGTTTACTCTGCACATGTGATATCTATCATCTATTGGATGTGTCCTGGAAAAACAAGGGTGGGGTGGGGGACGACTTGATAACACAGTGCAAGTGCAAGCGCAAGCAAATTAGATCACTCTCACATGGAGAGGCCTACGACCTGAACGTGCTTGTCCTGTTCATCCGTAATCCTTTGCCAATTCTATTCATAGCAATGTCAGAAGTCACAAGTGAAAAGTGGTCATGCAAGTATTTTTTTTTATTTTGTCAAATCTGAAATCCCCCAAATCCTGATCTAGTTCTGACTGGAGTCTTATAATTAATATATAAAAATAATAAACTGGTACTTGATGTTAGAAATCAACTGCACATTTAACAATGGTTTATTTAAAAAAAAAAAAAAACTTTATTGTCATGAACAGTATTACAGTTACAGTAAATGGCATTAATACCATAACTAGAGACAGTAGCCATCCTCAAACAGGTGGAACGTTCACTCAGACTGACCTTTTTTTTAAGAAAATCTGAAATGCAGCATAGGTAGATTGAGGGAGAAGTATGCAATTGACAACCCTGAATAATGCAACACTGACATCACTTCAGTAATTCAAAGCTAGTCATGATTCAAGTACAAAATAAACACACTCACACACACACAAACGCACATACACAAGTCAATGGAACATTCAACAAGCAGGCTCAACCAGCACTGGACAGTAACTTCCCATAAAAGAAGTGGATGCGTCGCAGGAAGCACCCCGTTCGACGCTGACCGCTGAACAAAGACGTGTTTTTAACAGTTCAATACAATGTGTGCAACACTGTAAAAAAAACCTGCATCAACAGTGACTAAAAGTTGGATGTTTTTTTGTGAATTCAAATTGTAAACTGTCTGCCATGCATTTACACCCACTTACAGCTCGTGTATGGAGTTATAAATAAACCAGAGTTAGCTTCTTTCTAAAAGCCCAGAACCACTAGGAGGACTGCTTGTTAGCTTAACCCTAACCCCCCCCCAAATCATGTTTAGGTTTTATCAACATAAACTATCCAGTTAACGTATGACCACCACAAAGAATGTGGCTGTACACTAAATAGAATACTTAGCATATGTGTGTGGAAGTGACTTTACTACAGACTCTAGCAACAGAACAAATCAATGCCAACAACTACAGTATCACACCTGCAAGCATGGTGAAAGCTATACTAATGCGTGACCTCATCCTAAATGGTTTGGAATAAAACCTGCCAGTGGAAAATGGTGTATAAAGAGTATGCATCATATTTACTGTACAAATAAGTATATATTATGTTGTTGTCAACATGAAAACAACAGTGTTTTCTTGAAGGCAACGATCGGGGGGAAATTATTTTGTTTAGCACACAAGTGCTGGAAATATTTGATGCCCAGTCCATCACTAGCAGCGTCTCGAACTACTCAAGAGTAGGGTTGTAACAAACTACTTTTATTATTAGTTAATCTGTGCTGTTTGCGTCATTGATCGTTTGTTTAGCATACAGAATGCAAATGATAAACAATTGTCTTTTTGGCCGAAACATATTCAATATACACCGGAATGAAAAGGAAAAAGCAACAAACCCTCACTTTTGAGGAGCCAAAACTAGCAAATGTTCTGTATTTGCCCTTTCGTGAACAACTTTATGATAAAAATCGTTTCAAGACTACTCAAGAGTCAAAGTACTGCCTATCTGCCCAAGTGTTTTAAGGTCTTCGCCCCTCAAAGAACATTTATCTTAAAACCCATGAAGATGGCTGGGATGTTCAAGTGTCTGTCAGTAACGGAAGGCAACGTGGCTTTAGGTCCCGAGGTCCAGTTTTCTGTGAAATGAAACTATACAATACGTATACATCTGCTCAAGTGAGGAGTTTTAAAATTGGAATGAACGAATGTCTTTGAATGTGACAAAACCGAGTCAATCATACTATAAATAATGGTGGAAAGTGTGGCATTGTTATAACTTGGACCTATAACTTTGGTACACTTAATGAAATACGTATATGCAGATTATTAACCAACTGTGAGTACTGGAAAAGAGAAAATGGGGAAAGATAATGCCGTTTGGACACTTTGTAATGCTCAACTGGCTTTGATATTTTCAAACAACCCTCTGTTGTATTTGCTCAAGTCCAACAATTCCCTTGTAAAATTAGTCATTCATGTACATACCCTTTTATTAACTCAGATATGACAATAGCTAGCGATGTTCTCCTTGTGATTTGCTCCATCTTGGGGTGTGGCTGCTGTGAAAGTCGCTCCTTGTCTGTGAAGAAATGGGTAAATAATTCTGTGGCTGATTTCATTTCTCAATCAGTCCTCCGTCTTTTAGTTTGAAGTAGAAGAACTTCTCCAAGGTGTTGGCACACTTGCAGTACTCGCTGTCTGGAGGGTTGTACTCGCGACAGTTGGTGATGATTCGCTGCAGGTCGGCAATGAAAAGCTTCTTGGTCACATAGTATCTGTTCTTCAGTCTCTCTGTCATGGTTTTCAGGTCTGTGGGGACAAAAAAGGAGAAGAGAAAAATGTGAGTTAATAATAATTTAATGAATGCTATCTGTGACATAAGCAGGAGCTATTAAAGCTGCTGTATAGTCAAAGAGATGCTCGCTGACCGATGGGAAAGCGGATGATCTCGTAGTAATCTGGAGCCTCCGATTTTTTCACTGGTTCCATGAAGGGCCAGGCATCAGGATGAGTCTGTTGAGATAAAGTCCTGGTTAGTCTTTGTTCTTATAACTGCTGTGGTGTGTGTTGCCGTCTGCTGTCAACAGGTGACCCTTACCTTTATCTGGGCCAGGAGGTTCTTCAGCATGTTGTATAACACGTCAGGATCCTTCACCTCTTTCCTGCAAAAACATGCGAAATGATAAATCAGTAAAATATTAACTACACTCATGTAAACACATGTCTCTAAATGAGATCACTGTAA